TTGCAAATCAAAGGATTATGGAGTATATTTCTTTTGTTTCTTCATGCGTCACTCCACTAACTCCTTTCTATCTTTCTTTCTTTTTTTTTTCTTTAATTCATGGAGATCCACACACTTGCTGCTGGCCTGCTGCTGCATTGCTGCCACACTTGGCCGGCCAGCCAGGTTGCGCCACGTGGCAGCACCTGGTTGGCCGGATTTTAATCCGGTCCGGAAATATTTTCTAAAAATACAGTCTTGCTCAAAATTTTATTCTGAACAACTTTTCCTTCTGTGTCGACTTCAAATTCCGAACCAATTTGGGTCAAACAAATTATTTTTGAATCAAATCAACTTTTTTTACATTTTTCTTTCAAAACAATTTCTTTTTGGTGCTTTTTCAATCCGTTTGACCTCAAATCTATTGACGGGGTGCATCGCCACATTTGAATGCACATTTTTCACTTCATGAATTTTCGCCATCTTTTGCTCCTTTGCTCCGTTGCATTCCATTTGCACAATCTTTTACCTTTTTGTACCACTTTTGACTCAATTTTTATTCTTTTTACAACAAGACATAACTTTTGTGCACTTTTACAATTATGAATAAAAGATATAAAAACCATTGAGAAATTGATTTGTTTAATCCAAAATTGGACCACAACACATTAAATATAGAGAAGATAAGTCCGTACAAAACGGACTTATCAATATACTCCCTCCGTCCCGGAATATTCGTCTAGTTTTGAATTTTAGAACTGTTTATCTAAGCACTTTGACTCATTAAATTCTCTCAATGTGTAAGCCTAAATATAGTCATGTGTGATTTTGTTTGATTTGTCTTAACATATAGATTATTAATATATAATTTTTATAATTTTTTAATATACAAATTACAAGATAAAATAGATTAAAGAAGTGCATTGGATGGTGTGTAAAAATGAAAGTGGACAAATACTCTTGGACGGAGGTAGTATATATTTTGCCGCAAAGGTGCCAAGGCTACTCTTGTTGGATACGCTGATGCAGGATATTTTTCTGATCCACAAAAGGCAAAATATATGTGTTTACTTATGGAGATACTGCAATATCATGGAGATCGATGAAGCAAACTTTGATTGCCACATCATCCAATCACGCAGAGTTGATAACTCTCTACGAAACAGGTAGAGAATGTGTATAGTTGCAATCAATGATCCAACATATCTAGAACGAGTGTGGTATAGAAACAACCACTAGCCATCCGACTCCTTTATATGAAGACAACACGGCGTGCATTGCTCAAATTAAAGGAGGCTACATCAAAGGACACCGAATAAAGCATAAATCACCAAAGTTTTTCTCTAACACATGATATTGAGAAAGATGGAAAGGTTGACAACAAGTAAATCAAGTCTAGTGAGAACCCTACTAATTAATTTATTTACAAAAGTGTTACCCCCAAAAAAATTTGAAGAACTTGTACAGAAGATTTGCATGCGCCGCCTCCGTCAATTATGCTAAGATGAGGGGGGGGGGAATTTTATGCACTGTACTCTTTTTTCCTTGATCAGGTTTTATATCCTTTTTTTAACAAGATTTTTAACGAGGCAGTATATAAAAAAAGACGAGTCCCAAAACTACGCTCATTTCACAAAGTGACCACCATCAATTGAAAAATGAACATTCAAAGGAGAGTGTTAAGAAATATATCAGCTGACATTTACTCTAAATGTCATGGTGTGACATTTTAAATCTAAGCCCTTGGATGTAATAATTTTTTAAATCAACGGATGAGATTAAATCATCACATTTTAGATTAAATCACCACAAATTAACGGAGCCTCCTCATCCATTCGTCTCTGCTTCTCTCTCGTCTCTGGAAGTCTCTTGCGCCGATTCCACTCCCTCTCTGCAATCACTCCGGCGACCGGCGACGGCGGCTTTGCATCTCTCCCGACGAGGTAAGTTCTCCATACCCTCTCCTCCGTTTTGACTTTACTTTGAGATGGCCCAAATTTGTTTAACCCTAGTTACTTCCCCACACCCTCTCTGTTTCTAATTCAAGGTTTAATTCATCTAGAATGTTGAGGGAACCATCCAATTTTCAATTTGTTCTTGGTTTGAATTTTTTTAATTTCCATTTAGTTGAATTTGTTTTTTTTTGACGGAAAACCCCAATGTTGAATTCATGTGTGCGCTTTCAAGAACTAAAAAAATCCCATTTTGCGCTTTCAAGAACTAAATGCATTATTTACTGTAAATACATTTTTAGTTGCACCAAAATGAGATTTTTTAGTTCTTGAAAGCGCACACATGAATTCAACATTGGGGTTTTCCGTCAAAAAAAAAATAAAAACAAATTCAACTAAATGGAAATTAAAAAAATTCAAACCAAGAACAAATTGAAAATTGGATGGTTCCCTCAACATTCTAGATGAATTAAACCTTGAATTAGAAAGAGAGAGGGTGTGGGGAAGTAACTAGGGTTAAACAAATTTAGGCCATCTCGAAGTAAAGTCAAAACAGAGGAGAGGGTGTGGGGAACTTACCTCGTCGGGAGAGATGCAAAGCCGCCGTCGCCGGTCGCTGGAGTGATTGCAGAGAGGGAGTGTAATCGGCGCAAGAGACTTCCAGAGACGAGAGAGAAGCAGAGACGAATGGATGAGGCGGCTCCGTTAATTTGTGGTGAAGTGAATCCAAAATGTGATGATTTAATCTCATCTGTTGATTTAAAAAGTTATTACATCCAAGGGCTTAGATTTAAAATGTCATACTATGACATTTAGAGTAAATGTCAGTTGAACCTAGCCGTATATAAATTGTTCATTTATCAATTAATTAGGTCATGTTTTATCATAATTGCAGGAACAAATTATCTATCATTATTAAGTTGTCATTTGTATAGTATGTATACTATTTATAATAGTGTTATTACTAAGCCTCACCATTATGAATTTGAGGCTTGGGACCCCTACAAAACACCATTTACAATAAGAAGGAAAATGAAGAATTAATAGAAATAAAAAATCAGAAATATATCATATTTATCTTCATAATCTTTATTTCTTCTATTTTATCATTCTATTCTTAAAAGCAGGGGAATTCCGCCACAAGCTTTTCCCGCCCAAAGCATATTCATTCAGCACCATTGATTTCATTAAATCTACGGTTGTCCTTCATCTTCATAAACTACCAATTAAATAGATTTTATTTAAGGTATCACAATTAACTCTCATGTATTGGAATTAATGCGGCATACTAATTCATCATGAAATATTATTAATAGTATGAAATTAATAATAAATAAATATAATTAAATGGTAGATTGCGCGTATTATTGTTTTTATACATGGTGAAACTTAATTAAAATGAGACATAATTATATCGTCTCATTTCTAAAATTAATAAACAAAATAATAAATAAAGTTATAAATATAATTAAAATAAATAAATAAATATAATTAAAAGGGACTTTGACCATGTGTGATTATTTATGTTCCCATTATAGTTTATCATGAGTATAATTTGTAACATAAATTATGTTCATGAATATAGTATACTATATATAAATGTAAGAATAAATAAAAATAAATGGAAACATGTAAAATTGTGACTGTGTAAAACGTACTACATAAATGGTAACTTAACACATGACTAAAAATGTCAGGATTGTTAATAACCATATAACAAGTGGCCTTATTAAATGGTACCATTAATAAAAATAATAATAATCCGAAATTAAATGTTAATTTTGCAGCACGCTACTTGGAGGAATACGGTAATGGTAAATAAATAAATATTCTAATTAAATGGAGTGTTCTAAATAATTGGGGATGAATACGGTAATGGTAAGTAGATAAATATTTTAAATAAATGGAGAGTTCTAAATAAAATGGTAAGTTTTGATACAACATGGTACATGGAGGATTACGGTAATGGTAAGTAAATAAATGTTCTAAATAAATGGAGTGTTCTAAATAAAAATAAAAAATATTAGAGTCACAAACAAATAACTCACAAAATTTACAAATTTGTCTTTTGTAGATATTAAATTAAAATATCTTTTATTATTTAAGTGTACCTTATTAAAAATATTACTCCCTCCGTCCCTAAATATATCTCACATTTGCTTTTTCAGCAGTCGCGGGAACTTTTGTTTGTTTCTATGTTTTCATTGGCTATTTGATAAAATAAAATATTCTTGACACCTCTTATTTCGAAGAACTTTTCATGTAGTTTTTTGATATGTAATTTTTTTTTTATTTCTATACCAATATGTAAATAAAATGAATTAAAAAAACTTGATATTTTACCTCGGTAATAGAAATGTGAGATATATTTAGTCTACAACGCACAGGACTCATAGGAGTAATACTAGCTTACTAGTAACATGTAACACAGCTCAATTTAAAAAAAAGTTATCGTTTATCAATGCCTTTATTTTATTTTACACTGGTCTCGGGACTCGGGAGAATAACTTTTTTTTGAAACATTGGTTTAGATTCCTTGTCAAAATCTGAAGTATCCATGGTTATGGAGCTAAGCTAAATGGGTATCCCCAGTAGAGTTTGCTGCACAATGGTGTCTTCGTGTTGGTTAGGGCTGTTGATCTTATGGTGGAGCTGCAGGTCCGCAATGGGTGAAGAGACGAAGTACGCCAAGTACATGGACCCGAAGCAGCCTACCGGTGCCCGAGTGAAGGATCTGCTGGCATCCATGACTCTAAAGGAAAAGATTGGTCAGATGGTTCAGATTGATCGGAGTGTTGCCTCTCCTCAGGTCATGAGGGACTACTTCATCGGTACTGCTACTAATTCCGCTTAAGTATTCTTAATACGGAATATATCTGTCTGTTTTACTCTTAATTACTCCCAAATAAACTTGGTTTTCCAATGTTTGACCTTTGGTCTAGGTGATAATTTAGGGATTCAGAGATTTATGATGCATTTGCAATTATATGCAAATAGGGCATATTTGAGAAATGAGTTTTTACTCGAGTAACTTAATCCTGAAGTTGTGCGTTAGAGTATTAATAAATCCGTTCTTGTGCCACAACCACAAGCTTGAGCTTTTGGTTGAATTGGTTCCTTGAAATGGTGTGTTTCAACTCACCTGGGTGGCTTTAGTAACTCTTAGGCATTCCCCACCATGAGCACAAACTAAAGAAAAATATTGTTTATCTTTATGTAGGCAGCGTGTTAAGTGGAGGAGGAAGTATGCCACTTCCTCAAGCTACTGCTTCCGATTGGGTGGCAATGATTAATGAGTTCCAAAACGGATCGCTGTCTACCCGTCTTCGAATCCCAATGATTTACGGGATTGATGCTGTTCACGGACACAATAATGTCTATAATGCTACCATATTTCCGCATAATATTGGGCTTGGAGCTACTAGGCAAGTTAATCTTGTTTTAGATTGAGGCTCACTGCCATATGATACACCCAGTAAATTGTAGTCAGGCACTTTCCTGTGTAATTCCATGCATTCTAGACAATGCCTTAAATTAATTAACTCATGAGTAATTAACCTGTTATCTCTATTGTAGTTGATAGTTTTTCTACAAGGTTCCACCTTTAATATCTGAATGACATGAATTTGTTTGTTTGGATTCTGATGTGTGATATTCGGTACACACTTTACATCCCATGATGTGGTTTGAAATTTCATATAATTTTAATTATTACATTAGGGATCCAGAACTTCTGAGGAGGATTGGGGAAGCTACTGCTCTTGAAGTCAGAGCCACAGGGATTCCGTATGTGTTTGCTCCTTGCATTGCGGTGAGTTCAGTAATGATTAGTCAAATGTTTTAGTTCAGATAATGATATAACCATTTTAGTATATTAGCTTATTATGCTTTACAAGGATGTAATTTACTTAAAGACTTGATGTGGGGAGCCGTGAATAGGTTTGTAGAGATCCTAGATGGGGACGATGCTATGAAAGTTATAGTGAAGACCCAAAGGTTGTTAAACAGATGACGGATATTATACTTGGCTTGCAAGGAGAAATTCCCAAAGGCTCGAAGAAGGGTGTTCCTTTTGTTGATGGAAAGTATGATAACTGCCCAAGCAATACATTAAAATAATTCATAACATTCTCTTTGTATGACTTTTGCCTTTCTAAAAAAATTACTTCGTGCTTCCTCCAATTACAGAAAGAAGGTTGCTGCTTGCGCCAAGCACTTTGTTGGTGATGGGGGCACGACTAAGGGCATTGATGAGAATAACACCGTAACCGACGCACACAGCTTAATGAGCATCCACATGCCTGCCTATTCTGATTCAATCATCAAAGGTGTTTCGACAGTCATGGTTTCTTACTCTAGCTGGAATGGAAAGAAAATGCATGCAAATCGTGACCTAATCACTGGGTTCCTAAAGGGTACACTTAAGTTCAAGGTAATAAAAAATCTAAGACCGTTACAATTTGTGAACTTTCATAAGCACCCTTGAATTTGCAATCAGGTAGTATCATTTATATTTTGTTGTGCTGAATTCTAGTGTGCTTTTGCGATTCTAACCATTGTTTCTGATGTTATTTCTAATGAATATTCATGGACCACCAGGGATTTGTTATATCGGACTGGCAGGGTATTGACAGGATCACTTCTCCAGCTCATTCAAACTACACATACTCGGTTCAGGCTAGCATTTTAGCTGGCATAGATATGGTAGGTTGGTGGCTATTCTGTGCCACTGCAAGCAAACACTTGTGCATGCTAAGTAAATAGAAAACGAAACAGTTCAGAGTTGCTTTTTCTCATGGGAGTTTCCATGAAATTGTGGGCATTGAGTTGTTTAACTTTGGCAGCGTGAATTGATCTCATGCAGGTTATGGTGCCTTTCAATTATACAGAGTTCATTGATGATCTCACTTTCCTTGTAAAGAGCAAAATTATTCCAATGGGTCGTATTGATGATGCAGTAGAGAGGATTTTACTAGTCAAGTTCAACATGGGACTCTTTGAGGACCCCTATACTGATCTAAGTTTGGTACAGGAGGTTGGAAGCCAGGTAGGTTACTGGAATCAAATATCTTATTTTAACTTTGCAATAGAAAATTATTAGCCAGGCAGGTAAATTACCATGCTTGAAGTGTGGATTTTTGGCTGTTAGACACGTGTGCCTATTTTTTTGTCCCATCAGTTTCTGTAGATGAAGGGTATGGTGATATCTAAACAGGCACACAGGAATCTAGCAAGAGAAGCAGTTAGGAAATCACTTGTACTGCTGAAAAATGGGAAAACGGCTGATGACACATTACTACCACTTCCCAAGAAAGTGCCCAAAATATTGGTTTCTGGTAGCCACGCTGATAACTTGGGTTACCAATGTGGGGGATGGACAATTAATTGGCAGGGTTTTAGTGGTAACAATGGTACACGAGGTAGGTTTTGTTTTTCATGCCTCTGACTACTTAAAAGCTGAAAATTTTCCGTCCTTGTAGACCTTGGGAATCTTAAAATTTTCATCAATGTGCAAAAAAAGTATGATTAGTAACCACTTGTCATTCTGCTGAAGTCTTATTGATTTTGTGATGTTCGAAGTAGCTAACTCGTGATTTCCTTTTTCAGGAACTAACATCCTTAGTGCCATATACTCTGCAGTAGACAAGGACACTGAAGTTGTTTACAGGGAGAATCCTGATTCTGATTTCATTAAATCCAACAACTTCAACTACGCCATTGTTGTTGTTGGTGAGTACCCTTATGCTGAGATGGTAGGGGATAACCCTACTCTTGAAATAGCAGATCCCGGGCCCACTGTCATTACCAATGTCTGTCAATCAGTGAGGTGTGTTGTGGTCATCATATCTGGACGCCCTCTTGTGATACAACCTTACATTTCATTAATCGATGCACTTGTAGCAGCTTGGCTTCCTGGCACGGAAGGTCAGGGTGTGACTGATGTCCTCTTTGGGGACTATGGTTTTACTGGCCAGCTTTCGACAACGTGGTTTAAGACTGTTGATCAACTTCCAATTAATGTTGGTGACTTGCATTATGATCCACTGTTTCGTTTTGGATTCGGGCTAACAACCACGCCCTCAGTCTCCAGGTAAAATATCCATCACTTAGGGTATGCTTTGGAGGCGGATAAAAAAGCTTGGTAACTTTACAGAGTAAAATCACAAAATGATGGGTCCATTGACGATGGATCTGAAAGAGTCATTTTTTGCAATGTTTTAACTTCCGATAAATAATAGACTTAATCAAAATGACACAGTAAACTTCCTTAGCTTCTCGCTTTAGATGATGTTTTGGGTAGTAAATGCAGCAATCCATCACAGATTTGATGGAAACAGCCTTCCTGTTTTTACAAGGGTAAGGTTGGGTACATCTTGACCCCACACATCAATGACAACAACAACAACAACAACCCAGTTGGATCCCACGAAAGTAAGGTCTGGCTTGTTGTAAAAGATACAAGATGATAAGTTAGTATAAACCATATATAATCACCTGATTTCTAAAATAAAAAATAACACTTCCCTATCAAATATGCTTCCCCAAACATAACTTGGGAATAAGACTACATATGTACATAGTGAATTTAGTTAAAGTCATTGTCCTTCACCTCAGTCATTGTGTTTGCTTCTTTGGTCTACTTCATTACTTCATCTCTTCTTAGCACCTCTTTTTTTTTTTTTCTGACGGCTTTATGCATCATCACAAGGTTATAATACATGATTAATTAAATATTGGTGTAGAGTTTCCATGTTATTGTTTTCATATCTATCTGCGCTCATTCGTTATGTGGGCACTAATTAGCTTCATTTCAATTCTATACAGAGCAAAATCGGCTGGTGTTGATATGAGGCCATACTTGTTTGCCACTGCTCTTTCTGTATGTATTGGGTATTATTACCATGGCATTTCTCTTGTTTGAAACATGTAAACATCACAAACTGGAGTTGTCTATTCTCAATCTGTCTGTGTTGTCTATTTTCTTCGGCCGAGGAACTTGCATCTTTTTGTAGAGAGAGAGAGAGACAGAGACAGAGAACAGTGTATTTTTCTATGTATACGATCTATTAAAAATTGAAAAAAAAGAAAAATTTGTGGTGGTATTTTTGTAAATAAATCAAACTTTTCTGCCCATGTCAAATATGCACTACAAATGTAAAATGAATCAAAGTTTATCAAAAATACACCATTCTCATTTCTCGCAGTAAGACTGTTCTCATTTGAATCACACCAAGTATATTGATTTATATGTGAATGAGATTTAATGAAAGAAATAAGAATAAATTTGGGGCGTTGAATTGAGCACAACAACCATATGGTCTTTGTCATTTAACATGGGGAAAATGGTATTTTCCTGATTTCCATTTATGTATTGCAATTCATACGCCATCCGCATAAGGAGCAATTTTTTTTTCTCTCGGCATATATATTTCTCATTCTACGAAATAGATATAATTCTATTATAATGAAAAACAACTACCTCTTCCAATTTGGCATCGCTACCACATGACACATGAAGTCAATACCACCTCTCATTGGAGAATTGGTTCAATACGAAGCATAGCATTTTGACTTGGGAGTTTTTTTGGCACTTTTTTATTTCGTATGTATACATTTTTTGGGTCCATTTAGGCTGATGTTTTGTCACCCTCGGGTTTGTAGAAGTGCCCATAATCAAGGTAATGATGGGTTTCTGTTACTGTGCATTCTTAATTCTTAAAATCAAGGTAATGCATTTTCACATCAAAATAACAGGAAGAGAAGAAATTTGATTGATATTCTAATAGTTATTTTATGGATTCTTGCAAATTACAGTGGCTTTGTGCCACGTCGTGTTTTGGATTGGTGCGCGTTGTATTTCATTCGCATTAATTTGTCGTTTTCCCATTCAAAATAATATATCTGTATTATATATGTAATGGAAACGAAATAATATTACTCCTAAAATAAAAAAAATGTACATTAGGGGAGGACTACAACCATATAAAACCATACATACAACGAAATAACCGCTAGTACTTGCGGGTACTCTCATCCCCCCGTGAATACTAAGGTCTTCCCTTAACCATTGGAAGAAGTAACAGGTTTTCTAAATCATGAAAACAAACGTGGCTCGTTAAATCATGGATCCAAAATGGCATTATTGAAGATAATGCAGCAAGCATCAGATCTTAAGCGGTCCAGTCTGTTATGGACGGAAACCATTGCAAGGTATGAGACTTGTCCCACATCGGTTGTATGGGCAATTGATGTGGGGTTTATAGGCCAAATGGGTTCCCTCACCTATCAGACTAGTCTTTTGGGTTGAGTTCTTCCGTTTGGTCTGTAACACAGTCATCACTACCATATTTGGGGGGGGGGGGGGTGGGGATACCCATTGGCTCCCCTACGGGGGCTCCAGAGTGGGAGTCCTAAGACATCCAGTCACCTTAGGGATGGATGGGAGTCCTAAGACATCCAGTCACCTTAGGGATGGATGGGTTCCCCTTGACACACAGGAGCTTACGTAAATAGAAGAGGGAGAAAAAGACAAACCCGATACACAAGAAAGAAGGAAACAAAGCAAACCCCCCTAGAAAAGGGAACAAAGCCGCCCAGATATGCTGATCCCCAACAAAATTCCATTCTGAAATCAGATGGGTCTCCCAAAGTCAACCATGAGGGACCTGTGAGAGCATCTGAATCCTGATGGGTTCTTCAGAGAGGATAGTCAAAGCAGCTATGAAATCAGAGAACACCCGAAATTTCAGTGGCAATTCAAGTCAAAATAAAACAATTGTTTGAGATATCTGCAATACTAGAGACAGCTGTTGTTAGATATATCTGCAACTAACTTTTGAAAAATCAGTTTCTGATATCTTTACTTTTTTGCCAGTGGTAAAGCATTACAATCCAAATGCAGAGGAAGGAGTTTATTTAAACAGATCATTAACATGTAAACATACACCCTGCACTACTTTGAGGAGATAAATTTATTCAAATGGAACCAAGAAACACACCAACCAGAAAAATATTACAGGTTCTGAAGCTCTAGATTGAGACACTGTTTGGAATGCCTTTGCCAGTTAGACCGGCTTCGCTTGTAGGGAAGAGCAACGTGTACGGTACCTTCACAGGCCCTGTCCTGTTCTTCAGTTTTACATCTGTGTTCATTTTCATTATGCCATCCTCAATATCCCCAAGCTTCTTTCCAAATCGTGCAAACGCGTCACGTGCTTCCTGGTCTTTTGTCCACTCAGGGGACTCTCTTTGCCCGAGGTACACCTCATCCGAAGGATGCCTTGACAAAATCTCAATAAGGGAAACACCTAGCAGTGTCTGGAGCTGAGCAGTGATTGTTCTTAGAAAAACCTTCTCTGGATCAGTCTCAAGCTCCTTGTACTCGGTAGTTCCAGGCTCCGGCATGAATCTGCGGCTCAGGGTTGGGCGGTTTGGGAGATAACCAGCATAGGGATATTGACCAAAGTTAACAGCCGCGTGAAGAGCAGAGGCTATCCAGATAATAATGGTACATGAGTCAATCAGCTCCTGGACTGTCTGCATTTTAGGCCACCATGGCTTATCTTTTAAATCACCATGTCCTTGCTCTCGGAGTTCCTTCCACCAAGCCTGAAGTTCAGTATCTTTCAGTACCATGTCATCTGATTTGTAATATAACTTGCAGTACTCATCTACCCATGTTTTGATAGATGACCAGATTTCTAGCCCATCAACAGCATATGGGTAGTCCTCAATTAGAAGGCGAACACCATGTGGGGAATTTGGGTCTTCTACAGCCACACCTCTAAAACATCATATAGAGAAACTGTTAAATCACTTGCATTGCTATATTTTGACACTGAAGTTGGCAAAAGTTTAACAAAAAAGCAAAGTTAATGACGTGTACAAGATCAGCTAGTGGCATCATAATGACATATCATTGTAACTGAGAAAAACTCCACTGAGTTTGTGATTTGAATGTTTTGGAGGCAGTAAGCCAGGACAGTGATTTATGTGGGGATCATGGCATACCTCTTTACAAGATCAGTTGGGAGTGCCTGGTCAGTGAAAACCCAATCCTTGTAAACTACAGCAGACATTTCCATGGCATATCTACCAGGGAAAACTGTCTTCTCAAGAATTCCACCAGCATTGATCAATATCTGGCGAGCCAAAGCATTGATAGTCATGGTGTCACGAAAATGGGGATGCAGAAGCTTATATATTGGGTGAAGTGCACTCAATTGCCTATTTTTTGCAATAACGAATGGCTCAATCACAGCATGTGTGTTCAACCTATGATGGAGATTCAAAATAAAAATTTAAGGAACAGGTAATATATCCAACAACAAAATTTTATTTCTATTTGATTTTATAAACGGCAATATATATACCAGTGGCTGACCAACTGATGAACCCCTGAATCATTCACAGCAACATAAGCTTTAGCTAATTGCCACACACCATTTTCAACACCTTGTTCAGCTGGTGTGTACACTTTGCTTTTAGCACCAAATTTATCTCCAAGTGGATTCGGCAAGCTCAGCTCAATTGCAATAGGCATCAATGTGCCACCGGTTTGCAAGAAAAGCATAGTTCTTGAGGCGTAGATTTTGTTACTTGTTGAATTTATGCGCCTCAGATATGGCATAAGCATGTCATGATGGTTCAATATGAATAACCGGTTATTCTTGATTGCCTGTACAAACAAGATCACATAACATCAACATTTTAGAATATTGGGGTTTTACAAATTAAGTGCAACCAACAAACAAAATGAAGTTACCTCCTCAACTGAAAGACCATCTAATCTGCCTTGGATATTCTCTTTTGTGATTTTACTGCTGTGGTCGCCGTAAACATTAGGATCCAGTTTACTTTTTGGTGGGAACTCCTGTGATAAAAAATTAAACAATAGAGAATTCATCTTTAATAATTTAACTGAGGATTCACACGCCATAATGTAATTTTTGTTGTCTGTTAAGAAGTTTAAATAGTGGAATGAAGTTTAGGTACTTGGAGGCGACTAATGATGACAGGGTTCACTCCAGCCAGCATTTCTCTTCCAAATTCATCATCGGTTCTCCATGCAGTTTTATCCTCTATTTTGCAGCATACACAATTTGGGAATTAGAAATGATGGGAAAATATAAGTAACACAACTATATACAAAAAGATTGTACAAATACCTTGGATAACCTGTGGGGTTGGGAATTTAAAGAGCCCCTCGCCATCACTGCGGAAGAATTCCCTCAGCATTTCGATGGGAATGTTATCAGTGAGGGCTTTGAACAAGGGCCCTTGTGGCAATTTGATCCCCCCTTCATAGAGGTTAAGTACATCTTGAATGCTGTCAAACTCCTTTGGGGCAGAATCAAACAGAGACTTAAACTCAGGTAGAAAAAACTGAACCAGAGATTTCAATGCATAAGTAAGAAAGTCTGCCAATTTCAGGTGCCCGAACCTCTCATCCCTTGGAACATATATATCTAAGCTCATCAAAAGCGGAATCCTACTTTCAAAATTAGGATCTAGCAAGGAAATAAAGGAAGTTAAAAAAATGCCAAATAAAAAGCTCATCAAAGGATGAAAAATAAAATTTGTAAAACCATATATGCGTTACCCGTCTTTGTCGGGGATCTGCCTGTCCTTCCTCGACGAGGATAAGGATACTCTGAGTTTCCACCCAAAATAGGTCGAGCAAATTCTTCACCTTTGTCTGGATCACCCAAGTCATTGTAGTAAGCATAGTCATACACTCTGTCCCATTCTTTAAGCTCTCCACTTCCAGTTCCTCTCAATATCACTAGTTCTTGTTCTCTATATTCCTTCAACAGGGCCGGCGTTTCACTCGGAAGAAAGGCCTGCAGTAATGAACTCACGAGTCATGATATTGTCAAACCGAATAATTCATCCCAAATAAGAAAATAAACCTAATAAATATGTAAGGAGCAGTTTTATAGAGTGAGAAAGGAACCCTAATTTCAACCAAACAGATAGACATGGAGATGAAATTCGTACCTGGTTTGCGAAGAAGACGCGGTCGTAGTTGTATTTGGAAGCCGGATAAACCCAAGAGTGGCATACAAAGTGGACATCGCCATGATTGGGAAGGTCATGGAGGGTGATGGTTTTGAGGAAGAACTCGTTGGGATGATTGTTCTTGATGACGAACGCTGCCGGAACCCCAAAATCTTCATCCCACCCGAAGGCAAATTCGAACGCCGACTCGCCTGAGGCTAAAAGGGGGTTGTTGAGCACCCAATTGTTCAAAGAGGTGGCCTTGCTGCGCTTTCCTTTCAAACCATTTCCTGCAATTTCACCATTGGCAGGGCAGTATCATTTAGCTTTAGCTTTTTCAAAATTAATCTATAATTTTAAAATTTTATCCAAAATATTAGTGCTAGTCAAAAGCACAAGTTCCCAAACAATGCCAAAAAGAGTTTTAGAATAAGTTTTGAAACCGCGATCCCAAAATTAGGCAATTTATGTGACATTGTACGTTAATGTTATGGGATGATGATACGAACTAATTTCATTGTCTCACACATGTTAAATGAAGGACTTGGTGATGGGTTTATATAGCTAATGATTCTCCCACTTTTATATCATCATTATTGAGTTAACATAAGTAAATACGGAGTATTAGATTCAAAAAAAATAAGTAAATGTTAAAATGTTAAATAAATTGATTTAATAAAAACTTTGCTTTGTAATTTTGTAATATTACATAATGATATTTCTTTGAAATGACTCTTAATTGTAATTTAATTTGAATTTCTTAATTATTTTATAATATTTTTTACCCAAATTTATACATCTTTTATATAATTTAAAAAATTTGATAAAAATTACACTTTTTAAAATTTAAATAGTGTATAGTATTTTTGTTTATTTTCTTACACGTTTAGTTAGGTGGTTCTTTCTTTCTCATTATTAAGTTAACATAAAAAATATTAAAATGTTAAATAGTTTTATTTAATAAATAATTCTCCTTTTAATTTAGTAGTATTCCATAATGATATTTCTTTGAAATGACTTTTACTTGTAATTTAATTTGAATTTCTTAATTATTTTATAATAACTTTTTTACCCAAATTTATTCATTTTTAATAATAATTTATTAAAAATTACACTTTTTAATTTTTAAATAGTGTATAATACATTTTTTTATTCTCTTAGACATTTATTTAGGTGCTTCTTTCTTTTTGATAATGTAGTGGTTTAATTATCATTTTGTGAGCAATAACAGAATTTGTAATTGTTTTAGTAAATTAAAGTCAAGTGTGAGATTATTATTGTTAATCAAGATGACATGGTAGCAGAGGGAGAAATGGTTGAGGAAGACGATGGTAGAAGGGAATAAACGATGTGGGGGTGAATGATGATAGAAGAGACACTTCAATACTGCGTATTACGGAGTATATACTCTGTATTACTACGTATTTTTTACTAAGAAAGGTAAAGGTAATGAGAAGATAATTTTTTAATGTTGTTGTAATTCAATACTGATGGGTATATCCCTATACCCGGCTTGGACAACTGAAAGGGACAGGTCAAAATATGACCGGTCACTTTTATCAATCACCAAATGAGGTTAACTCTTCGATTTGGACGGGTCAAAAGTTGACCGGTCACTTCCACTAAAAAAGTGACCGGTCACATTTTGGAAGATAGCGAAAATATCACCTTATGCTACGAAGGACATTCTAGAAGACCAAAGAGACGGGTTGAGCGCAAGAAATGATCGGGTAACCTTTCAGAGAAGGTGACCGGTCATATCACTTTACTTGGCTAACATTGGTCCAGTCTCTTAGGCATGGTGAACCACGTCAGAGGTCAAGGGGACACCCCGCCGCTCATCCATCATGAGGCACACAGTGAAAGGGATGTTTGTCATTTTGCATGGTTGATTGGATTGAGAATATCCATTTTAGTCTTTGATTCAACAGTGCTTTTTGGTTGTATTAGTTGCAAGTCCATGATTGTACAGTGCTTCCATTATCTACAGTGACGTTCCCACGAGCTTCCTATTTTGTACATGGGTGAACAAGGAAAGGTCACAAATCCTCCTCTATAAATATGATGATATTGGATAGAGGAGGGGATCCGTTTTTTCTCTCACTAAAAATAGTACACTCTTGAGACAGAGTAAGAAATATAATTCGGACTGAGGAGATTTACCCGGTCTAGGCTATACTTTGTTTTCTTGTTGTGTGTTTTATATTACGGGTCGAGTGTCCAGGTCAAATCCGGTCGACCCACCCAGCTATATTTACACCATCAAACACATTTACATTATAATGTCACATGCGAAGTGTTTAGAGTCAAGAGTCTCAAATTTATATATTCCATTCGTTCGGAATTGAATTGGTCATTATATACTAGTTTAAGAGATTTGACTAATTTTATTTTCAATTCAATTTGATTGTCTGTGTGAAATTCAAAAATTTACTACTTTCGTTCTAGTGTATTCATCGAGTTTGACATTTTTGTTCAAATTAGCTAAGTTTGAGCCTCAATTGAATAAAATCTGTAATGCATAAAAGTTTAAAAATGATTTCATTTGATTTGATTTGTTGAGAACTTTCAAAATTTTATTTTGTTATATTTATATGCGATACATATTGAATTTAATTGAATAATAAAGTTTGTCTAGCTTAATTCAAAGAAGTCATACTTAACGAATATATCGGAACAGAGAGATGACATATTTAAAAACTACAAAAAAAGTGTTTTAAAAGAAAACAGGGGAGATGACGATTTCATACTCCGTATTATGAAATAAATAGTGAAACTAAGCAAATGAAGTGAATAAAGTTCGATTGGTAAATTATGCATTTTGGAATGGAGTAATTTACCTAAATAGGACTAAAACATAATGACTTTCCCAATATAGGACCATATGTTTTTATTTTCCAATGTAGGACCTTTGGTCATTATGAAGTAGTCATTATTCAAGTAAATTTCCATCATTATAGATATTATTTCTCTCACTAGGTCATTATTAAGTCATATTTAGGGAATAAAAAAGTTTAAGTCCTAAAAAGTCATTATGTTTTAGTCTTATTTAGTGCAGATTTCACTTTGGAATGACAATAGCAAAAAAAATGAATGGGGCAGATGTAATGTAATTATCTTCCCTATATTATGAGGTGTGAAAACTGACCTAAAGAATGGGGCAGAGCAGAACTGATGAATTCTACAGACACTTTGCGGCCGAGAAAATCGGAGAGATTGTCGACAATGGAGGCTTTGAAGTCGTTAAAGTCTAAAACGTTCTTCTTCATCAAAACCGCCCTTCCCTTTATCTTCTTCTTCTCCTGCTGCTTCGTTATCAATAATGAACCAAGCAACATTTTCACCCAGCCCCATTTTTGACGGGTCTGACTTCGGACCAGATCGATGAACAGAGTAATAATAAACCACATAATTAACCCTTTCCTTTTTTTATTTGTGTTTGGGTAGTCGAGAGAGACGGCGGCCGGCGTATTTATTGCCTAATTGGGAATATCCATCTTCAAAATTCATTCTCAAGGATGGCTTCCCCATCTCCTTTAGTATTTTAATTTTTTAAATTTGTTTTTGTTCTAGTTTAATTTATTTTAATTTTTTAATTCTAATTCCGTTTTTATTTTACTTTTTTTACATCGGTTTTTTGTTCTTCAGTTGTGATACACTTGTGCCTTATTCTTTTGTGTTGAAATTTCATAGTTGGACATTGAAAAAAATGGGAAAGAGTGGGAAAAATCGAAAAGAATTGAAAAAAAGTGGATGGAGTTGCAAATGTTGGAATCATTAAAGTGTTAAAAACTCATTCAATTATATGATCACCCAAATAAATATGTAGGAAAATTCTAATTTTGAATCTAAAAAAACTATACTTCTTTGGTTTGTGGTAATTTGTTATAAATTTGGATATATAATATTATTGTATGTTAATCATATATAAACATCTTTTTTAAATCGTTGTTGGAAGACACTCAAAGAAATTAGAAGAAACTGAGAAAAGTTAAAAAAGGTTAGAAGTTTATTTTCCATACCAAAAGGACAAGGACTTAGTTGTAAATTATGGCACTTTTTTCATTTTAAAGCTTATTTTGCATTCTTCATTTTTAAATTTTAAATTTAATAATAATTAAATATTTAATTTAAATACTCCGTATTTAGTTAAAATAGTTTAAATTGTTGCGTAATACGAAGATACGAAGTATTAAAAATGGAAAGAAAAAGAAAGTGAAAGAGAAACGCATCGAATAAAGGCCGGGAGAGTAATAGAAAACGATGAGTTGGTCGTTGGAAAAAAAAGGGGAGGGGAACCACCCTAATCAATTTTTAACTTTTTTTCTTATTGTGAGGCCCTCATGTTTTTTATCAATTCATTGATTTCATCTATTTTTTCTTCCACCATAATGTTAATTGAGATGCTCCATTAGAATATTAGATGATACAAAATTGTTGAAAAATATTTTTTTCGTCCTCAAATGTTTTTTCAAGTTACTATTAACACGATCAAATTTTAATCACTTACTTTATCTTTTTTTTGTTAGTTATTTGATAAAGTAATATAGTCTTGTCATATCTTGTTTTGTAGAAATTTTAATGTAATTTTTAAATATATAAAATTTAATTTTTTATTTTACATCTACAATCAAATAAATTGACTTGAAAATAAAATCAGTCAGACATTGTTAAAATAAACATTTTAGGACGGAGGGAGTAACTAAGAACGTCTTATGAAAAAGAGCAATGTTAGGTTCACAAACATAATAGTCCGATCACAAACGTACCATTTCTTGTTAAAATTTTAATGTTAAGATTATTTTAGACTACTTAATTTTTTTATTGAAGTTCACAAATAGTAATTTTGTGATGTTTGTGACTAGTGTGTTTGTAAACCAAACATTTCTCTATGAAAAAATATAAAACAAAAAATCATCAATTAAAATGAAAAATTGCACACCCAAAATAAGATTAAAACAAACTACGGAGTATTTATTCTCAAAATAAAAATGACACATTGTTAAAAAGTTCATTCCCCTATATCTTTCCCTAAAAACCCACAACCTAAGAGAAGTATATGAGATTTAAACTCATTTTCTCTTCTTATTCTTGCGTACCGCGTAATCTTGCATAAAGACCTAATGGATACTTATTGGTATCTAGATTTACAAGAACTTTATTAAAGATTTATACTCCCTCCGTCCCATAAAGATGGGTATGTTTTGACTAAAGTAGAAATTAAAGGAGGGATTATTTTGTGATAACTTTCCAAAAATATTCTTAATGTGATGGGTAAAAGTATGTTGTAATGTGTAGATTATTAGGAAAAAGATATGATGTGATAGGTAGGGTTTGAAAAAGTAAGGGTAAAAGTGGTTTTTTAATATAAATGGGTAAGGGATTGTGGGACGTAATTTTTTTTTGAAACGTGTAAATCTTTTTGGGACGGAGGGAGTATCTAATTTATTTGTAAAGCTTCTTTGGTGTACTTTGAGGTATGCACTTTTGTGCACCTTCTCACTTCTTTTTTTTTATTTTTTAAAATTTTAATTAAAATAAATGCCTATTAAGGTAGTTAAGATATGTTTATTCGGATTATTGTAGGTCCATGTTGGACTTTAAGTTTACCATAAAATTTGCCTAAAATATATCCTCTTTTTTCACAACAGATTCAAAGTGTTTATTTCCAAAATATTAATTAATTAATTATATAGTAATTAAATATATTATAATGTAGAGTTGTACTTAAATATATTATAGTAAGATCCAAATGTGAAATGTGGATCTTCGCACAATTTTCATTGGGCTTACAAGTAGATCTTTTCTTTTTATAAAAACTAATTCTTTTATGATATCAATACACTAACGTCCATAAAATAAACATGAATTTTAAGGCTATTCATGAATTTGCCATTAATGTAATTTTCTACTACAAAGCTTGTTGGTAACTTTCTACTTTTCGTTGATAATATTCTTAAACTAAATTTTTCTCTCAAATACTATAGATATATTTACATATTTAGTTTTTTTACAAAAATTCAAAACCCATTAATATAATTGATATGGAGTGCATATCACACAAATATTTTATATATATTTTTAAATTAATAGGTAAAATGTTTAAAAAAAAATCAAATCACTTTTTATTTATAAGCTTTTTTAAATAAGTAAATTTTATTTTTTATTTAATGACACAACTCAAGTAAATTAAGTTAAATTATAAATTTAGTAAAACATCAATTCTTTATTTATAAATAGAAGAAATATTATTTTATTTACTCATATATTAGTTTTTTGATTCAATGCCACAACGTGTCTATACATACATACATGCACACACACACACATATATATACTAGTATTTTGACCCGTGCGATGCACGGGTTCGAACGAAATTTGTGTCGATTCTAAAAATTTTTTCAGTATAATAGGGGTTATTTTTTCCAGCTTTGAGAAAAAAAATTCTAACAATGTTTTATATACTATAGACATCAACATCAAAGTATAAATAATATATATGCAGCATTTAACATTTTGTGATGTAAATTCCTATACATCAAATTGAAAGATATTACGACAAAGTCTGATAATTGCAAATTTCTTTTTTATTGTTATTGACTCTATTGTAAGTATATGATTAGTATTAAATTTTTTCTAATAAAAAAGAAAATTATTGACGTATATGGTGAGGCCCCTCAAGTCAAATTACATACTTAGTCAATAAAAAATAAGCTTAAAGTTGATTTAAAAATTTCTTAATATCAAGTTATCACAATTGTAGCAAGAGAATGCTATTTTATAAATAATGAAACCTACCATTCCTCAAAGGTGGGTATATATTTATTTAGGGGTGGGTGGGCTATGTGGCGAAAATGAAGGACAAGGAGTGTTGGGGAAATTAATGATAACTTGGATGAATCGAGAGTTGTGTAAACACTTTCAGATTGAATATTTTGGTTGTTCACTTCAAAATTCAATCGGATAAAACTCGAAAGTATCAAGAACAAAATGTGAGAATTGCTGTGTAAAAACCGAACGAAATTCGACCATGCCCAGGGGGATTTTATAGACTAGGGGTGAGAAGGAGAAGACATCATTCGCGGCTATTACCCAAAGCACGCAACTCTTCGCGCGGAAGTTTCTTCTTCAAAATTCGGTCCTATCCATCGAATTTTCTTTTAAAGAAAATTCGAAATTAAAATTCTAATTGAATTTTTTTAACATAGCACCGAGCCCAAATTCTCGATCCCAGCCAGGGGCTCTGCCCCTTGGACCCCGCAGGGGCTGCTGCCCCTTGAACCCTGCTCGGGGGCGCTGCCCCCGAACCCCCGCCAAGGGGGCGCTGCCCCCTTGGAACCCCCGGTGTAACGGGTTTTATATTGTAACAAACTCAATGAAGCGTGCACTCCGCACCACCAAACTTCTTTGATGATTATTAGGATACCATTGGTCGTAGTTTTTCCAATTACACTAAAATATATAACAAGGAGTTGGGAGAGGGGTGAGGGACAAAAGATGATCCAAAGCCATACTACATAGCCACCAACAGCCATCCCAATTACGGAGTATATACCGAGTATTTAATTATATACCCTTCCCTCGCCGTCCAATCCATTGTGATGATGTCATTATTCACCATTATTATGAAGTGAATTATTATAGAGATTTTCGATAATTAATCTTCTACTCCCTCCGTTCTACATAACCCTTCCGGTTTTGACTTTGGGAAAAAATAAGGAAAGTGAAATTTTAGTTGACTTTCCAATTTTGTCTCTAATGTGATGAGAAAAAGTAAGATGTGATAGTTTGGTTATTAGTGAAAAAGTATAATGTGATAGGTAGGGTATGAAAAAGTAGGGGTAAAAGTGGTTTTTTAATAGAAAGTGAAGTATTTTGTGGAAAGCAAAAAAACGAAAGAGGAAGGGTTTTGTGGAACGGAGGGAGTATTATTATATACTCCGTATTATGTCTACGTTCTTTCTTTTGTGAATACCTTTCTAGTTTTTACAGATAATCTGTTTTTGATACTTTGTCATGCATGTTGGTAATAAATACTACCTCCGTCCCAGAGTATTTGCCCACTTTCATTTTTACACACCATCCAATACACTTCTTTAATCTATTTTATCTTGTAATTTGTATATTAAAAAATTATAGAAATTATATATTAATAATCTACTCCCTCCGTCCCATGAAACATGAGAGTTTTGCTTTTAAGGAGGGATTTAAAGGAAGTGTATTTTGGTATTAAATTTCCAAAAATGTCCTTTGATGTGATGTGTAAAAGTATGATTTGATGGATAGATTATTAGTCTAAAGGTATGATGTGATAGTTAGTGTATGAAAAAGTAAGGGGTAAAAGTGATTTTTTAATAGAAATGAGAAATGTTTTGTGGGACGGATAAAAAAGAAAGGAGAAAGGTTTTATGGGACGGAGGAAATATATGTTAAGACAAATTAAACAAGATCACACATGACTATTTTTAGGCTTACACCACTACAAGAAAAACTACTATTAATGACGGATCAATTATGACGGGTTGAAAAGAGTCTCATTAAATATGTTATTCATATATTTTTAGTGACGGGAAAAATACCATAGTTAAAATATGTTACTTTAAGTGACCAATTATTTTTCTTTTTCTTTAAAAAAATTTAATACCCTCATTATTGGAGTATAAAATATTAAAACTCTCACTATAACTTAAAAATGTATTTTTATTTAGACCTAGCTAAAATATATTCCAAAATAAAAACTCATTACTCAAAAAAAAAGCAGCGCCACCCCTTGCAGTTGCAGATGACCTAATTCCGATCCATAGAGCCCCAAAAATGAGATACGGAGTATATCTCAAAAAATCTCTCCATTTGACTCTCACCAGGCACGCCGGAACTGTTGCTGGGCACAGATTCGTCTAAGGGACAGGGCGCAGATGCTTCTGAAATGTCTCCAACGAACTGGAATCATCGTCGACTTCAAGCTTGCGGGAATCGTTGGCAGGGGGCAAACCAGGTGCGTATAGATTTCGAATCGTGAACCCTACCCAAATAATTTCGATGTCCTTTTACGCGTACAGAGTAAAGATTAATAGGTTTAAATGTAGCGATAGAAATTAGGAAACCTGTTTTATATAAATTATAAACGGAGAAATCGTATCAGAGACCTTCTTGGACCTACAATTTGCTCTGCCATCTGCATTTTTCGGAAGGGTCTCCTAAATTGGCTCTTCAAACAAAGGGAACTGAATTCAAAGGCCAAAGCTACTGTCTTGTCTTTTGCTCTTCAAACAAGTTGGTACTTTTGCTTCTTGTCTTTTGTTCTTGCAGATTTCGTTAAACCTATTTTAAAATGATCTTCAATAATACAATTCAAATACTTGACATGCATATTTGTTATCTAGTGGTAGAGACAATCTTGAGTAATATTCATACACCAACTTTGATAGGTATATGCACTTTTTATAATACACTCCTTATGATTTTTGTAAGTTTATATGTAAGAATGCTCTTCTTTCTTATTTAACTTTCATTCTATTTTTGCCTAACATTTCATAATTTACATAGTTGTTGGTTAGAGCACATTTTCAACAGGTCCATCAGATTATCAATTTCATCTCGCACTTCATCTTCATTTACCATCAATTCATCTTATCTTTCATTTAGAATTAAATTTAGTTCATTTTACTTGAACATGTGTTATTACCTCTTCCTTGAGGATTTTGACTATTAGTGGCAACATTAGCATGTGGAAGTTTTGCCAGAGGGTTTGGTAATTTTGCCTCCATCAACAACATCGTTAAAATCATCACAGGTTCGTTCACAAGTAATGCTTGACCAAACAATTTAGTATCACGAAGATTTTTGTCTTAGATACAAAAGGTATTCCTAATATGTAGGACTATATGAATATATGAGAATAATTTAAGAATGATTAGTTTTATGTCTGCAAGATGCGCTTGTAAATTTTTGACATGTATTTTAGGTTTCACAAACCTTATGACGCAATATTCATGTGGTTAAAGTCGAAGAAGCCGAGAATTCCCTAATTCTTTATTTTCTTGCGGTCAGGTCTGGCCTTTGAAGATGGATCCGATTTTGAAGTTATGGTTATATATTTTAAATCTTGGATGGAGTCGAGTCTGATCATTGACGCTAGTCTGTTGCTGCCGTTTTATATTTTAAAGATGCTGCCGTCAGGTTTGGCTATTATTAATCACTTAGACCACAATTATGTTTTATGGGTTGTATATTTGGCAAATGCTTGAATTTTAGGTGGATAATAGTTTAAAAACAGTGTTCCGATGTACTCTTCCGGGATACTAAAATAGCTGGATATTGGGATTATCTACAATGATAGTTTGGTAGTACTACTACTTAAATTTGTGATTTTTAGTTTCTATTTGGTATCAGTAGGATGAGTAGCATTTGACTTCTTTGCTAGAAATGGCTCTTAACAAACAAATAAGTGAGCACTTCTATATTTACATTTTGTAGCTTCGCTGCCTTCACTTACAATCCCTATTCATGGCATAGTTGCTCAGGTTGATAGGCCGAACAATGAATGACCCAAGTCATTTCACAGGTACTTTTGGCTTTCTTGTTAGTGTGATGTCGATTGTTCTTAAACATTGTACTTATGCTTCATTGGGTTTGTATGTAGTGCTAAACTTAATGTTTTGTTGCAGACTTTTAGAAGTTGGACTTTGAAAATAGAAAAGAAGGAAACATTTCATTTGTGGCACAACAAGATGACACCTATCATATCGAGACATCTTTCAACTAAATCGTTCCTGAAGCGAGGGAGTCTATGCATCATCCAACATAAAATAGTACCTGATGGTTTCTTCGAATTTGCATAGGCTTGTTTGGTGTTTCTAAGGTCTTAGAACCGAATAATTTTTTTATTTCTTTAATATTATGTAGGCCTTTTTTAAAGCTTGGAGGGTCTTTTGTCCGGCCCTCCTCTCCCTTTGTACCTCCTTTATCTTTTTAATAAAATTTTCGTTAATAAATGTAACTCATTGTATGTGGGTGTGGGTGTGTGTGTGTGTTAATGACGGTATATAAATATAAATATAAATATAAATATAAATATAAATATAAATATAAATATAAATATATATATATATATATATATATATATACACATATATATATATGTATATATATATATATTAAAAATATAATTCTCATTACTAATAATTGTATTTATGACGGGATTTTCCATTATAAAAAGAGTATTTTGATGAAGGTAAAAATACTCTCATTAAACAACTTTAATGAGAGGACTTGTAACCCGTCATTATTTGTAATTAGCTACGGAGGCTTTAATGACGGTCAATGAGAGTAAATTTCCCTTCATTAAAAAGTTTTAATGACAGTTTTTTGTGTTTTAACTACGGATATTACTCACACTATAGAACATTTTTCTTATAGTGCACATTGAGAGAATTTGATGAGTCAAAGTGCTTAGATGAACAGTTCCAAAAGTCAAAACTGGACGAATACTCCGAGACGGAGGGAGTAGGAGTTAAAAGAATAATTTCAAGATGGTCATGCATATCAAATAAACAAATATACGAAGTATATGTAGACGACACACAGTTACACACACACACACAGAGTATATATATAGAATTGGGTGATGGAAGCTGACCGGAAGAAGAATCTTGATGGGGCAGAGAAGAACTGATGAACTCTAAAGACACCTTGTGGCCAAGAATATCAGAGAGATCGTCGACAATGGAGGCGTTGAAGTCGTTCAAGTCCAACACATTTGTTTTCATCAAAACCGCCGTTCCCATCACCACCATCTTCTTCTTCTCCTCTTCCTCCTGGTTCGTCGTCGTCTTCAACGCATCAACCACCTTTTCGACCACCATTATATATTTAATTTCCCAAACTTCAATATATATAAGAATGAAAGTAGTTTATGCAGTCAATCTCTTTAATTGTCAAGATCAAGATGGATAAGAAGAGTAATAAGTTAATGGACGCAATATATATTTATAGGTTGAATAATGAAGGGGATGGCTATCTATTTATAGGTGCAGTGCATGAAGATATTGGATCATTGAATAGGATGTCGTCTTTATTATTATGGCTTTTGCTTCTTTGGTCGTCGACGATGTGCTGGCGGCGGCGTTCCTTATGATTATCATTATCAATCTGCATGGAAGGAAAATTCCATGAAAGTTAATTTTCACGTACTTATGTGTTCCATTTCTTTAAGAAATATTTGCCAATGTGTATATATCGATAGATGAAGAGTCAACCCTTTGAAAGTCTTGCTATCATTTTTCAATTCAAACATATAGTCTATTAGGATGTTTTCCTTGGAGTTTTAAATCTTAACTTGACATTTTCACATTCAAACATGTTTTTTAAATATTTCAGAATTCCTTCTAGTTTTTTTTTAAGTTTTTAACTTTAGTAAATTCTTGATTACACCTAAGGTCCAGAGTAGATTTTCATACAAGTCAAATGAACAATTATTACTAAAGATAAACATTTTGTAAATTTAGAATTTTTTATGGTCAAATTTATACTTGAATTGTAGGTCTCGGAAGACGAGTTCAACAACGTACTCTGCGCATGAATCCGAATTACGAAACTTAATGTCTTAACCGCCCCAAGAACGAAAAGATAATAAAGTAAAAGAATAAAATACAACTGTGTCATTGGGTAGGTCTCATTAAATGATGACCAACAATATATTATGTGCACAAAAAGCACTCTAAGAAAATCTCTCCATCATTGGAGAGAAATTTTTTAAAAGCTCGTTCCACTGGTTTCTTATTCTTCCATCTTTTTTCAATCTCTTTCCTTTTTCTATCAATCCAAACAATAATACGAGTATACAGTCTCTTTGCTCTCTCTATTTTCAATCAATCCATACAATAAATTGAGTGCACAAGATATCTATAATACTAGAGACCATGAAAAAGATCGAATTACATTCTCTATTAGAAATTTGAGATGATAGATCAATTTACTATATCTCCAGATAATGGTCAAAATTGTGTATATCTATTTTCTACACAAAGTTACCTAATTAATTTGTTCTACCTAAACAATAGAAATAAATCTTCTCAACCTATTTGTAAACTTTTAATCACGTAAGAAAATTCAAAAACAGTGAAGGGAAATGCAAAAACCTATGACTACTTTAATTGGATCTGATAATATTTTAAGCATTACAGACTTATATGTAATAATGTAATGAGAGTTTCATACTTAATTTTCTACCAAGAAGCCATCTGACAAAGCTTGAGAACATGCTAAAAACCAAGCAAAAACCAAGCAGCGTTAAGAAATCTTGTTGTGTTTCGGAGCCAAATATTGACTCCTTCGATCAGTTGTAGGCATTATTCAAAGCAATTTACCAATCAACCAAAAGCTATAAAACTCAACCATAGCTTACTGTGGCAAATATTTACATACAATTGTACTATTTAGGAGTGCAACACTGATTTAGCATTATAATCACTATTGCAGAGAGAGTCATTTATTTAGACAGACCATTAACAAGTAAGCATACACCCTGCACTGCTTTGAGGAGATAAATTTATTCAAGTGAAACAAAGAAACGCACCAACCAGACAAAAGTTGTTCTGAAGCTCTAGATTGAGACACTGTTTGGAATGCCTTTGCCAGTTAGACCCGCTTCGCTTGTAGGGAAGAGCAACGTGTACGGTACCTTCACAGGCCCTGTTCTGTTCTTCAGTTTTACATCTGTGTTCATTTTCACTATGCCATCCTCAATATCCCCAAGCTTCTTCCCAAATCGTGTAAACGCGTCACGTGCTTCCTGGTCTTTTGTCCACTCAGGGGACTCTCTTTGCCCCAGGTACAGTTCATCCGAAGCATGCCTTGACAAAATCTCAATAAGGGAAACACCAAGCAGAGTCTGGAGCTGAGCAGTGATTGTTCTTAGGAAAACCTTGTCTGGATCAGTCTCAAGCTCCTTGTACTCGGCAGTTCCAGGCTCTGGCATAAATCTGCGGCTTAATGTTGGGCGGTCTGGGAGATAACCAGCATAGGGATATTGACCAAAGTTAACAGCCGCGTGAAGAGCAGAGGCTATCCAGATAATAATGGTACATGAGTCAATCAGCTCCTGGACTGTCTGCATTTTAGGCCACCATGGCTTATCTTTTAAATCGCCGTGTCCTTGCTCTCTGAGTTCCTTCCACCAAGCCTGAAGTTCAGTATCTTCCAGTACCATGTCATCTGATTTGTAATAAAACTTGCAGTAGTCATCTACCCAAGTTTTGATAGATGACCATATTTCTAGCCCATCAACAGCATATGGATAGTCTTCGATTAGTAGGCGAACACCATGTGGGGAATTTGTGTCTTCAACAGCCACGCCTCTGCAAAACCATATAGAACAACTGTTAAATCACTTGCATTGCTATATTATGACACTGGAGTTGCCAAAATTTTAACAAAAAGCAAAGTAAATGACGTGTTCAAGATCAACTAGGGGCATCATAATGACATATCATTGTAATGGAGAAAAACTTCACTGAGTTTATGGTTTGAGTGTTATGGAGGCAGTAAGAAAAGACAATGGTTTATATGGGATAGTGGCATACCTCTTTACAAGATCAATTGGGAGTGCCTGGTCAGTGAAAACCCAATCCTTGTAAACTACGGCAGACATTTCCATGGCATATCTGTCAGGGAAAACTGTCTTCTCAAGAATTCCACCAGCATTGATCAATATCTGGCGAGCCAAAGCATTGATATTCATGGTGTCGCGAAAATGGGGATGCAGAAGCTTATATAATGGGTGAAGTGCACTCAATTGCCTATTGGTTGCAATAACGAATGGCTCAATCACAGCATGTGTGTTCAACCTATGATGGAGATTCAAAATAAAAATTTAAGGAATATATAATATATCTAACAACAAAGATTTAATTCTATTTGATTTTATAAACGCCAATATACATACCAGTGGCTGACCAGCTGATGAACCCCTGAATCATTTACAGCAACATAAGCTTTAGCTAATTCCCACACACCATTTTCTACACCTTGTTCAGCTGGTGTGTACACTTTGCTTTCAGCACCAAATTTATCTCCTAGTGAACTGGGCAAGCTGAGCTCAATTGCTATAGGCTTCAAAGTTCCATCTGTTTGCAGGAAAAGCAATGTTCTAGACGCATAAATTTTGTTACTTGTTGAATTTATGCGCCTCAAATACGGCATAAGCATGTCATGATGGTTCAATATGAATAACCGGTTATTCTTGATTGCCTGTACCAACAACATCATATAGCATCAATATTTTAGAATATTTGATTTTTACAAATTATGTGCAACCAACAAACTAAACGAAATTACCTCCTCAACAGAAAGACCATCTAATCTGCCTTGGATATTCTCTTTGGTGATTTTACTGGTGTGGTCGCCATAAACATTAGGATCAAGTTTACTTTTTGGCGGGAACTCCTGCAATGAAAAAATTTCACGATTAAGGATTTGTCTTTAACAATTTAACTAGGTATTCGGACATCATTATGTTATATATATTATTTGTTTGTGAAGAAGTTTAAATAGTGGAATGAAGTTTAGGTACTTGGAGGCGACTAATGATGACAGGGTTCACTCCAGCCAGCATTTCTCTTCCAAATTCATCATCTGTTCTCCATGCACTTTTATCCTCTATATTGCAGCATCCACGATTTCGGAATTAGAAACATCAGGAAAAAGAATGTAACACAAGGAAATAAACAAAAGTTGTACAAATACCTTGGATAACCTGTGGGGTTGGGAACTTAAAGAGCCCCTCGCCATCACTACGAAATATTTCCCTCAGCATCTCAATGGGAAT